AGAGGAGAAACGTGGCGACCCTTGTCACGAAAGCCCCCCGCCTGGCAGGGCGCCTGCGGGGCTGCCCTGGCCGGGCCGGGTCGCGTGGCTGGAATGGAAGGGCAGGGAGGGTCTTGCCGCCGCTTCTTACCGGCTCCCCGTGCCCACCCCGGGAGGGAGGTCAGAGCGTCCATGTGCTTAACGGGAAACAGGAAGGGGTGGCTCAGCGCCGCCCCGGCCCCCCAGTTAAGGCTCCCATACCGTTATGGGGTGTGTGTCTGGGGTGAGGAGCTGCTGGTAAAACAGGCTTTCTGGGCCATGCTTACAAATTACTTGCCGGAGGCGTTGGTAAGTGGGTTAAGGGCAGGTGTGTGGCACTAACTTTTGACCTGAGTTGCGGAGTGCCTGTCTCCCCAAGCCAGGCTCCTGGCATCCAGACCTGGTCTCTGACACCTGCGTTGCCGGCGAAGAGGTCAGGGTGTTCTGAGAATCCTGCAAGGATGAGGAGCGAGCGCCTCTTCCCAGAGGTTGGAATCAGGGCTCAGCAGGCAGGCAGCCCCACTACTGTGTAGGGGTTTTGGGGAGGGGTTGCTGTCTCAGGGCAGCGTTGGGGTGACTGGGCCCAAAAGTGAGTGGCTGGCCGCACTTGTGATGGGGCTCCTGTTTGAGGATTTGTCTGCAGCCCTGTCCCTCAGGACTTTGCCCTGACCACACAGTGACCTGCACAGATTGTGTTCCAAAGAGAGAGAGCCTCGTCTCTCCTGGTACCCTCTCTGGGGCCTCTGGCTAGATTTCCCCTTGGGAGGACGGCCTCTTTCCCGTCCCTGGCCTCAGACTGCCATTTAGCGCTGACCCGGCCGCCTTTTCCACCCCTGCTGCGGGGTGTGTGTGTGTGTGTGTGTGTGTGTGTGAGTCTCATGCAGTTCTGAGGTGTGTGGGGACTTTGGCGGAATGTCCCAGACACGCTGTAGCCAGATGAGGCCTGAGGACCACGTTCTCACTGTCTGGCACACTCACCTTCCTGGGAGACTGACCTCCATGCGGGGCCTAAACCTCAGCTTGGAGCAAGTCACACCTCTGCATGGCTTCTTCCATTGCAGGCTTCTATAATAGTTCACGACCTGCTACCTGAAAAGAAAGTTTCCACCAGGGAGGACTACTCAGGACTTCTTCCACCTCTCTTCTGTAGTCCTGCAGGCTTCCATGGAAGCGGGGAGCCTGCAGCACCCTCTCTTCGTCCTTGCAGACTGACCCCTTTATATTCCTCAGTCCTCCAAATGCTGAGAGCTGGGGGACTGTTGTCACTCTGAACCCGTGAGAGTTCTTTCCTTCTGCCTTTCCTGCCTTCTGGGTCTATAAGCTCCCTCAGGACCCCTTGCCCCTTGCCACCCACCTGGGAGGGCCTGGGGTGGGCGGCAGTCAGATTTGGGCGAAGGTTGTGCTGGGTGGAGCTCCACACCAGCTCCTGGTAATCCAATGCCCATGAAATCCCTGCTCCACTGGCTGGTCTCCAGCCTGTGCCTGAGAAAGTGGCGTCTGTCTCTGAGTCAGGTGTGTGTGAGAGACAGGGAGGGAGAGGAGAGTCGCACGTCTCTTCATGTGCTGGGGGAGTACATTCTGAGTGGGACCGGATCTGGAGGTGTGCAAGGAAATCACATTACTACCTCGAGGGCCCAGGTGTCAGGAAAAGCAGGTTGAATCTTGGGCTGCAGGCATGTTTACTCGTTCTTGCCCAGCCTCTGGCTTATGGGGTCCCTGGTTGGCTTGGTATGCTGGTGCCAAGAAGCCACTGCAGGGATGTGTGAGGCCAGCTGGGAGCCTCAGTTGTCTCTCCCCCTCATGTGGAGCCAGAAGTCCTGACCCAGCTGATCTGGTGCTTCTCCCTGCTGGGCTGGGCCCTGGGGGAAGGGGAGAGGGAGGCGGGCTTCTCTGCTAATGGAAATTCAGCACGGCAGGGGAGGGCTGTGGTCACAGCTAGCCTGAAACCCAGGTGTGAGAGAGTCCCGTCCATCTGTATTTTCTGCCTTCTGACCGCCATGCTCTCTCTCCTGCCCTCCGCACTTCCCGCTTGGAGCAGAAAAAGATGCACTAGGCCAACAGGTGGCGTGGTATATAAGGTGCTGGACTCTCACATCATACCACTGCTGTTCCAATCCCAGACCCAGAAGCTCAAAAATGATGCCCAGGCGCTTGTGTGTGCCCCCAAATCTCTAGAGACTCGAGGGAGGGATTGTGGCGTGGCCATCCCCCTGGGAGTAGAGGTGATTTCTTACTTTCCCTCCCTCCTCTGATGCATGCACGGGCCCTATAATAAAAGCCTTAAAAAAAATAAAGACAATTACACTGCCTGGTGCTTGCCCTCATCTGTTCTCTGACACCTGCTCTGCCTACCTCCCCTGCTCTGCACCCATGCAGGGATAAGACTGGCACAAGACATTCCCAGGCTCCAGGAGTCCCCGAGAAGGACTCTTCTCACCTCCAGGCCCTAGCCAATCCTCTGGATCCTTAACTCCCCAAATACTCTGGCAAGAGAAATACCCCTGCCACTTTCACTGTCTGTATGCTTGGTTGGGCTCCAAGGGGCTTGACAATCAGGTACATTTCCTCACCTGCAGTCAGGCTGAGCCAAAAACCAGGTAGGAATGGGGGGGGGGTAACCCATCTAGGTGCTCTGTGTTGTTCCTTTTTTTTTGGAGAGATTTTTGCTATAGGGCACATGCACTCACCAGAAAGACAGAGAGAGACAGAGAGACAGAAAGTGAGAAATCATCCCCCGGAGGGATGGCCACGCCGCAATCCCTTCTCCTCCATTCTTCTCTCAGGATCTTGGGCACACACGCACATGCACCCGGCATGAGTTTAAGCCACTGGGTCCGGGGCTTGAACCGTAGTTGACTACATGGGAGTCCAGTGACATAGCCATTATGCCAACTGCTGGTCTTTTGTTGTTCCTTTTCTATTTAGTTTCTTACAACTTTGCTCTAGAAAAAGGTGCGTGTGTGAGGGGGAGTTCCACTGTGTGAGAATATATTTAATTTTGTTCAGTTCAAAAAGCTTCCATCTCTAACTAATTAAATATTTATTCTGGCTAAAGTGGAGGGGAAGGGGCAGTGCCCTAGGGCGCGAGGCCTAGGAGTGTTTCGCCTCTCTGTGCATGTGTGTGTGGTTGGGGGAGGAGGAGGGAGGCGGTGCTGAAGCTCTCTTATTGTCAGTGCTGCCCTCTGATTTCATCAGAGCAGTGACCAGGAGTGGGGACAAGAGGGTAAAGTCCTTGAGCTGGAATACCGACCCGTGACAGGCTGAGAGGGATTTCGCAAGTGGTGGGTGGGGGTGGAGCTGTCAGAGGAGCAGGCTGGAGGACCAGGCCAGCTCACTGTGGTCCGAAGGCTAAGTCTCCTTCCACAATGGAGGACCCTCTCTCCACTCGCTTTCCTCCCAGGCTGGGAGGAGACCGCTTTCCTCACTTGAGACCAGCCTGAGTAGCAGCCCGTCCTAGGAGGAATGACAGGCTGGAGCCTGGAAAAGAGTGCCCTATCACTCTGCTGGCATTCACTGCCGAGCCCTGGGACGGCCAGGTATCACCGACCCCTCAGGGCCATCGTGCTGCTTCTCTCAGCTCCAAGCAGCTGCCGTCCCCCACGAGCCACAGCCTGTTCCCTCTCGGGGCATCCAGGTGGTCACCCACCCAGTTCCTCTCTGTAGCAGAAACAGGGTGGTGGGAGGAGGAGGCGTATGGCAGCAGCTCTTTCCAACAGTATGGGGGGATTTGTGATGGCTGTTCCTGCAGACTGGGATTTGGTTCTCTGGGTGGGGCTTTATAAGAAGAACTGTTGGGGACCACCAGATAGCATAATGCTTACATTGCTGGACTCTCATATGGTCAACCATGGTCAACCCCGGTCCTGGCAGCTTGAAACTCACGCCGGGTACGTGCGTGCATGCCCCAAATCCCAAGAGGAGAGAGGAGAAGGGATTGCAGTATGGCCATCCCCCCTTGGTGGTGATTTCTCACTTTCTGTCTCTCCAGGAGGCACACATGCCCTATAGCAAAAATAAAAGAATAGTTCTTGGCCAGACTCCGTGGTGGGCAGGACTACAGTGGAGCACCCCACTCGGCTGACTGCGTTCAGAGCTCCGGCCCGGTGGTCAGCCTGGACCGTGCGGGGTGTGTGTGTGCACATGGGTTCCTGAGCAGCTGGAAGGCAGGGGAGGGAGGAGGGCCCATGCATGACCAGACCCTGTTGGGGGTGTCTGTCTGTCTCTGTCTTGTGTACTATCATGAATAAAAATAGAACAAAGAGGACTAGCAGGTGGCATGTTGGTTAAGGTGGCTGGATCCCACTTGGTCAAGTGCGTGGTTCGAGTCTGGGACCCAGTGGTTTGAAAATCACACTGGGTGCATGTGCACACATGCATGGCCAAAATCCTGAGAGGAGAACCGAGGAGAAAGGATAGTAGGGTGGTCAGCCCATCTCACTTTCCCTCTGTCTTCTGTAAGTGCACACACCCTGTGGCAAAAATCCAATTTAAAAAAGAAAGAATAAAGAAAAGAAATGATCTTTCCCCTGGCAGCTCACACACAGGTCTCTGCCTCGTGCGTGGGGACTGGAGGGCTGGGCGCCTTGTGTGCAGTAGTTTGATGTCCATGATTGTTCCAGAGTTCAGCATCACTTAGGGACATCATTTTGTTTTACTCTAGACTCTGAATTTTTCCTTAGGGACCTACTGCCCCGCTGGGTTCTAGGGAAAGGGGATAGGGGTTTGTGTGAGCCCTGTAGGTTTTTGTTTTTGAGAGATTTTTGCTATGGGGCACATGTGCTTGCTGGAGAAAGAGAGACAGAGAGACAGAGAGAAATCGTCTCCCAGGGAGGATGGCCACGCCGCAGTCCCTTCTCTATTCTCCTCTTGAGGTCTTGGGCATGCACGCATGGACATGCACCTGGTGTGAGTTTTAAGCTGCCAGGTCCGGGACTCGAACTGTGGTCGACTACATGGGAGTCCAGTGATGTAACCATTATGTCATGTGCTTGTTCGGAGCCTTGTAAAGTTTACGCCTTTCTCCTACCTCCACCCAGGGAAGCTTCTAGCCCCAGGCCACATAGCCAGGACCAGAATCCAGGGCTGATTCCAGCCCCTGTTCCTTTGATACACCACTGGAACCTTTACTCACTCTTCCCTTCCCCAAGCTGCCCCTCCTTTTTTTTTGGAGAGGTTTTTGCTATAGGGTGCGGGTACTCGCCAGAAAGACAGAGACAGGGAGACAGAAAGCAAGAAATCAACCCCCAGGGGGGTGGCCCCACCGCAATCCCTTCTCATTCTTTTCTCGGGAAATCCCCCCCCAGGGGGGTGGCCACACCGCAATCCCTTCTCATTCTTTTCTCGGGATCTTGGGCACGCATGCACACGTGCCTGGCATGAGTTTTAAGCCACCGGGTCTGGGACGCGAACTGCCGTCAACTACATGGGAGTCCAGCGACGTAGCCATTATGCCATCTGCTGGTTTCCCAAGCCGCCCCCTCTTGATGCCCTCTGCCTTCCCCCTCCTCACTCAGGATGCTCCAGACCTTGTATGATTACTTCTGGTGGGAGCGGCTGTGGCTGCCCGTGAACCTAACCTGGGCTGATCTAGAAGACCGAGATGGACGTGTCTACGCCAAAGCCTCGGACCTCTACATCACGCTACCCCTGGCCTTGCTCTTCCTCGTCATCCGATACTTCTTCGAGCTGTGAGCATTCCAGCCACCCCGAGCCTTCCCCGCTGCCAGTTTCTCTCGTTTCATTAGCCCCGGACCCTAGTCTTCTGGCTACCCAGGTCACTGCCCACTGTGCACCCCCACCCCTGAAGGCACCATTGTCTTCCTGAGGGCTCGGCACCCTCAGGCCCTTTCTTCAATGGTCATTTGTTCTCGCCCTCCACCCGCCACCCTCCCTGGCTGCTCGTGAACACAGGCAGCTTTGTCAGCCAAGGGAACCCAGGAGGCTAGAGGAAAGGGGGTTGCCTGGGAACTGGGGAAACTGAGGCCCAGGAGAGTTGCCTGCACTTGCCGTCCTTCCCCCTCCTGGCCTAGAGGCTGAGAAGTCATGAGAGCCAGACCCGTCTATACCCTTCCCCAGCTACGTGGCCACACCGCTGGCCGCTCTCCTCAACGTGAAGGAGAAGACTCGGCTGCGCGCACCTCCCAACGCCACCTTGGAGCACTTCTACCTGACCAGTGGCAAGCAGCCCAAGCAGGTATGAGCTGCAGGCTGCTCGGCTCTGGGAGGTACTGAGGCCAGGGGAGAGGGTTCAGATTTTACTGGGCGAGGGGGCTGTGGGGTTCTGGAGCTGAGGCTGACAGGCTTCTTCACTCCACCTAGGCCGAGGTAGAGCGCTTGTCCCGGCAGAGCGGGCTCTCCAGCCGCCAGGTAGAGCGCTGGTTCCGCCGCCGCCGCAACCATGACCGGCCCAGTCTCCTCAAGAAGTTTCGAGAAGCCAGGTGGGGGAGGTTGGGGCACAAGAGGCTGGGAGGCAGAGGAAGGTCTGTTTTGTCTTACTGGGAGGGGTGAGTGCTGAATTCATGGTATCTTGAGAAAATACCTGGAGGCTGCTGGCCATCTGCCACCCTCTTAGGTAGTTGTCTGGGGATTATCAGCCACAATCCTACATTGCCTCTTCCAGCTGGAGATTCACTTTTTACCTGATTGCCTTCATTGCTGGCATGGCCGTCATTGTGGATGTGAGTGGGGACTGCTGGGTGAGGTGGGTGAGGCCACAGAATTATGTCCCTCCTTTTGCAATCTCCCACCCTCTCTCTGCAGAAACCCTGGTTCTATGACATGAAGAAGGTTTGGGAGGGCTATCCCATTCAGGTATGGCTTAGGTACTGCCCCCTACTTATATGGGGTCGGGCTGACACAGGCACACCTTGTGGAGATGGTGCGTGGAACACAGGGCAGAGGGACGCGGGTCCTGGGGTAGAGGCTAGGCCTGGGGAGGAGGAACCCTTGGTCTAGCTCTCTGGTTAGCTGCAGTGGCCTCACCGCGCCCTTCCCTCCCCTCCCAGAGCATCATCCCGTCCCAGTACTGGTACTACATGATTGAACTGTCCTTCTACTGGTCTCTGCTCTTCAGCATCGCCTCTGACGTCAAGAGGAAGGTGGGTGGGACCAGCAGTTGGCGTAATGGCTATGTTGCTGGACTCTCATGTAGCTGACCGTGGTTCGCGTCCCGGACCCGGTGGCTTAAAACTCATGCCAGGCGCGTGTGCGTGCATGCCCAGGATCCGGAGAGGAGAATGGAGGAGAAGGGATTGCAGCATGGCCATCCCCCCGGGGGGTGATTTCTCGCTTTCTGTCTCTCTCTGTCTGGCGAGCGCACACGCCCTATATAGTCGACCGCGGTTTGCGTCCTGGATCCAGTGGCTTAAACTCATGCTGGTTGCGTGTGCGTGCGTGCCCAGGATTCCGAGAGGAGAATGGCGTGTGCGGCGTGGCCATCCCCCTGGGGGGAGATTTCTCGTTTTCTGTCTCTCTGTCTCTCTCTGTCTGTCTGGTGAGTGCATACGCCCTATAGCAAAAAAAAAAAAAAAAAAAAAAAAAAAAAAAAAAAAACCCCCCCCCCCCAAAAAAAAAAAAAAAAAAAAAAAAAAAAAGAGGAAGGTGGGCAAAGGGTCAAGCCTCAGAGCCAGAGCGAGGCCCTGGAATGAACAGCCTCTCCTTTGGTTTCTGGGTGCTTTGGGTGGGCTACTGGGATATGGAGAACCAGAGGTGAGTGGGAGGAAGACAGTCGTTGCGGCTGAGTAACAGGCACAAGTCCCCTGGAGCCTGCATCTTTTCTGCAGGACTTCAAGGAACAGATCATCCACCACGTGGCCACCATCATCCTCATCAGCTTCTCCTGGTTTGCCAATTACGTCCGAGCGGGAACTCTCATCATGGCTCTGCATGACTCTTCCGACTACCTGCTGGAGGTTAGGCTTCCTCAAACCTAGAGACCCCAGTGCAGGTCCTTCTTCCCCTTTGCCTTTTTTTTGGGGTGGTGGTGATGGTGATGGTGGTGACACTCCTGAGAATAAAGGGGGGACATAAAGCCAGTGCTGCTAACTGGAGTGTACCGATGAATGTACGTGGGAGAGTCAGGAGCCGTGGTGATGGACGGGGACTATCTGTGCAGTCAGCCAAGATGTTTAACTATGCGGGATGGAAAAACACCTGCAACAACATCTTCATCGTCTTCGCCGTTGTTTTCATCATCACCCGACTGGTCATCCTGCCCTTCTGGTGAGTAGGTGGCCAGGCCACACTCTGTCAAGAATCAGAGAGTCCTGCCTCTCTTCCCTCACGTGTCTGCCCTCCACCCTCGCCCTCTCGTGTCTCTGCTGACAGTCGTTTCTTCCCGGAACCCCCAGGATCCTGCACTGCACCCTGGTGTACCCCCTGGAGCTCTATCCGGCCTTCTTTGGCTATTACTTCTTCAACTCCATGATGGGAGTGCTACAGCTGCTGCACATCTTCTGGGCCTACCTCATTCTGCGCATGGCCCACAAGTTCATAACTGGAAAGGTGAAGGCCCTATCATTTTAGAGACCTACTCTCTAGGGCTCCCCCAACTCTTATGCCAGCCACCCTCTAAAAAACTGCCGTGGGGCCCTGGGCATAGCAGGAATATACCCTCGGAAAGAGACATCCTTAGGGGTTTGAGGATATCCCTAATCCTTCTTATCCCTTTTCCACAGCTGGTGGAGGATGAACGCAGTGACCGGGAAGAAACAGAGAGCTCAGAGGGGGAGGAGACTGCTGCTGGGGGAGGAGCAAAGAGCCGGCCCTTAGCCAACGGTCACCCCATCCTCAATAACAACCATCATAAGAATGACTGAACCATTGTCCCAGCTGCCTCCCAGATTAACGCAGCAAGCCAAGGAACCACCCCACCCACCGTATAGGGTCACTTTAAGCGCTGGGGAGATAGGAGAAAGCTTCTCTAGAAGCTTTCTAGAATTTGCTTCTCTGTCACCCAGTTGCCTTTAAACCAAATTCTAACTGGCCTATCCCCAGGTAGTGGGGAGGTTGGTTATGTCCTTTGTCAGAGGGGGAATGGTCTAACTTTCCTCTCTATCCTCAAAGTTATTTCTGTTGCTTTTGAGACCCTGCCTCAGTCCCAGCAGTGGGGGTTAAAACTCACATTCCTTATTCTTCAGAATCTGGCCCTCACTGCTTGCCTTCGACTCCCTGGCCCTCAGAGCCGGGGCCGTGCCTTACTGTCCTATCTGTGGGCCTCACTCTGCCAAAGCCGGACCAAGGCTCACCTTCTAAGCTCCCTAACTTGGGCCAGAAACCAAAGCTGAGCTTTTAACTTTTTCCCTCCTAAGACACAGATGAATTGAGTGTAGGAGGGTACACATGACCCCTACCCTACCTCTGCCACAAGGTCGAGGCTGTCCTGGGGACTGCTCAGAGGGCCTTTCTTTGTGCCCCTTCTCTGCCTGCCGTCCCTGTAGCCACGGGTCCAAGATCTTACTGCCTCCTTTCTTTGGCCTCTTCCCCTTCCTCTTCTCTTCAGCTAGGTTAGCTGGTTTGGAGTAGAATGGGGCAACTAGTTCTAATTTTTATTTATTAAACATTCGGGGTTTTAATTTTAAAGCCAGAATTACAACTCGTACCTGGCATTTCAGAAGAGGGACCATTTCAGACCAAAATGTACTGTTAATGGTTTTTTTTTTTAATTAAAATATATTAAAGATTAAATAAAACATGGCAACAAGTGTCAAGACTATTAGGAAAAGAGATGGGGGATCAACTAAATAAACTAAGATAGTCTTTCTTATGCTTTCCTTGTAGTTAACATTTTCTTCGTAAAATTTCATTCGGCAAATGAGAAAACAGGAAGGTGGAGAAAGTACATCAGCGACAGCTGCGGGCTGGGGAGGGCGGTGGAACAGATCTCACCCTGAAAGATCTAGAGCGGGGATGTGGGGGCTGTGAGAGAGGTCAAATCAGGATCTTAGTTTTACCGTCTTGTTTAAAAGACTTTCATGAATAATACAAACCGGGATAGTACACAGCCCCTAATCCAGAAACAAAGTCTGTTAGAAGCATGAACACTAGAACAATGTGGGAGGGGGGATGAGCAACAGAAGGGCTGAGGGGATGGCGGGCCTCGGTTAGAGCGGTAATCTCTTCCCACCCCCTACGGCTTTAGGAGGTGGAAAAGGGACCCTGCCCGCTAGCACCACATTAGAAGAGAGTTCCCAATCCAGAGGACCATGCCCCATCTATCAGGAACTGGGAGAGAGTACAGACCAGAGACCTGGGGTCAGAGTTCAACAGCCAGGAAGACCCAGTCCCTGATGAAAGGGCAGTTCAAATGTGTTTGAAGGTCAGGAAGAAGGGTGTACTCTAAAGGAGACGACCTCTGCATTCGATGGCTCCACAGCAGCAGAGCAGCTCCTTGCCTTCCACACTGCCCACCTCGTAGTTGTAGTCCCAGGTAAGTTCTGTCCCAGCCCGGATTCTCCTGAAGAGGAAGAAAAGGACGGCATGTGTGACGACAGCAGATAACCCAGGCACCTGGGGTTACGAGGCGTGCAGGTGGGGCTGCATCAGATGGAGGGGGAGCCCACGGTCCTTGCCCCTCTCCCCAGTCCGCCCCTCTCCTGACACCCTCTTACTTGCTGGCAAAAAAGGCCACCCAGGGGAAGCGAAGATCATGAGTGTCCACGAAGACATTCTGGACAAACAGGTTGGGGCTGCAGCTGTGCTGTAGGTTTAAGGACAAGATCAAATAAGAACCAGGGAAACAGAATTTGGCTTGGAGTGAGAGAAGAAAAATGAAACCATCTGACCCTCCCCATTATAGCAGAGATGTTTTGAAAAAAAACTAGGACTTCAAGATCCTTTGAGATCAAGAATTTCTAACAAGGAGAGGTGGGTTTATATAACGTGTTAGAGGAACCAGAAATGTGAGGAGTGTGGGATAATCCAGTATCTTGAGGTGGAAGGGAAGGAACCTTACGTTGAGGTAGCGGCCCAGGTTGCCTTCAAGCTTGGCATCGATGATGTAGCAAGACTCCTCGCCATCGTAGAACTGGCGTGTGTTCTTACGAACAGGTGCACTCTCCCCCTTGTCCACAGAGGCCATGTTGGTTGATTTAATGGCGATCCCATGGGTTGACTTAAGAGCAAAGCCTCGGGTTGATTTGACTGCCACTTGGCGCTTCATTGGACCTGCACAGGATGGAGAATGGGATCAGGACCCACCCCAACTCCTAACTAGATGTTCTACAGTTTCTTTTTCTTTGAGAGGTTTTTGTTATAGGGCACATGTGCTTGCTGGAGAGACAGAGAGATAGAATGTGAGAAATCAATCCCCACAGGGGATGACCACACCACAATCCCTTCTCTTCCATTTTTCTCTCAGGATTTTAGGAACCCATGCACATGCCCCTGGCATGAGTTTCAAGCCACTGGGTCCAGGATTCCAAATGCCATCGGCCATGTGAGATTCCAGAGCCTTAACCACTAGGTCACCTGCTGGCCCTACTCACTTTTTCTGCATACATTGCAGCTCAGGAATACCAGTATGCTGGGACTCAGGCAAATATTTTAAGTGAGTTTTTTCAAGTAGACCAGATCGATTGGATAAAGAGCCAAGGGAAGAGCAGGGAACTGGAAAGGAGAGCAAGTGGACTTGTCACGCAGTACTGACATTCAGTGTGGTATTTGGGAGCCGACCCAGAGATGCTTCAACTCTTAGGATCTAAATTTTACCCCCTACTTCTTTAGCTTTCTTAAGAAATGCCCTATTTCCCTACTGTTTCTTATCACTCTCAACATTTTTCCAGACTACCAGACATATTCTTCTTGTCCTCAAAGTCATCCCCTTCAGAGCCAGAGGAGATGGTCTGGATGTCGTCACTGTCCACCGCTGTGGCTGAAGTCTGACCAGCAGTGGGCTTTCGGCTGGTCCCACTTTCCCCCTCACTTTCTGTGCTGCTGGACAGTGTCAGGACATCCTGGAAAAGAGCAGTAAATGGGAAGCATCTCTAGTTTCTCATTCGTAACTATGGTTTGGCAGGATGGGGCTGAGACTAGCCAAAGGAAGATTAGAGATGATGAAAGAAAGTGAGGCAGGAAGTCAAGGCTGGAGAAGTGAGAAAAGACCTAAGAGTAATTACAGTGAAGGACTTAGATGAGGTGAGGATGTTCCATGGGCCTTCACTTAGACTCTAGACAGGAAAGCCGGCCGAGGCCAGCTGGAAGAGGTCACTCACATCAGTGGTGGACTGAGCAGAGGCCAGGAGTCGTCGGCTCTGATGCATAACGGTTTTACTGGGTGGGCGGCGAAGTCCTTCAGGCTTCACTGGAGAAGGATTGTAGCCATAATTTCGAGAAATTTCAGTAACTCTGATGAGAGAGGAAGGAATGAGAGGGAGTCAGGTTATTGGCTATTTCTTCGGTTTCGTTCAGAGGCTTGGAAAAAAAGCAGATTTGAAAACAGGTTAGAGAGGCAAGCACTTACACTGACATTTTGTTTCGGTCATCAGGATCCTGGAAAAGAGCAAATGAAGGGTTAGGTGTATCCGTGGTTCATGAGGACAAACCCAATAATGAGACTTCATTTCAAATGGCCTCTGAACACGACATTAGCCAGTGAGAAGTGTACCATCTACAGCGGGTGGGAGTGGGGAAATCATGCTGTAACTCGACAGAAACAATCTCATTCTCATCACTGGACCCCTGGGACAGGGCCCTGAATTCTTCCCAACAATGGAACATAAAATCCAAGGAAGCCTCCGTAAGCGGAGTCCTACATGGATGACGGCGGTTCTACCTCCTGCTCCCGTGGGAAGTTCAACATTATCGAAGACATACTTACAAGTAATTCTTGTTCCTCTATGTTAGTATAAGGATGTAGGTAACTTGAAACAGTAATAATATAAAATGATAATCCTCTGCTTTGAATGAATTAGAATAGTCCATCCCTAGCAAGAAGATTTTAAAACAATCTGCTTCTTTAAACAGACATTGAGAGGGCGTCGTGGCGCCCGCCCTATGGTAAACAGACACTGAGAATATGCTGGGTAGAAGCGGGGTAATCAGGTTGCCACAGAGATGCCCAGAAATACACTACAATCTACATAAAAAGCCAGGATGTGACTGCATTAAGTTAGTTACTGCACTAAAGTTCAAAACCAATGCTGTCTTCTGCCACCACTTACCTCTTTCTTGGTCTGCTTGATGTCTCCCTCATCCTTGATGCCCAGTCCTGAGGTAGAGGCCTTCTCTGTCTCCCCTCGCCCTCCCCCAGGCCGGCCATCTCCACCTTCGCTAGTCTTAAAGGATGAACGGCTATCAGAGTCTGCAAAACCACCTTCACTGACACTGTTGCAGCTCAACCATGAGGCCACCTTGTTCTTGGGTGTCTCTTCGGAGGAAGGTGGATTACAACCACCTACAGGGATAGAGGGAGGGCCAGGAATATGTGGGGGCCCGAGGTCCGGGGGGCGGGAATCCTTGGAAGCTGTCTCAGAAAGTCCATTCTCCTTCTGGCCCCGAGTCTGCCTCCGGGTAGCGTAGCTGCGCCATACTGAGCTGGTGCTGAAGTCCTCGTCCTTACAGAAGTTATCGTCCGAGCTATCGTCATTGGACTCTTCAGGGTCCTCCGTGCCACTGTTGCCATCTTCTTGGTCCTTCAAGTCTACCCCACTGCTGTCAGAAGAACAGGGGGCATCACTCTCATATCCTTCCTTGAAGTTCTCCACACTCTCGATATGGTCCAGATTTGCAAAGTACTCATCACCCATTTCAAGGCCTTCCTTGTCTGCAAAGTCATCTGTCAGGATTTTGCCTGAGAATGAAGAGAAATAAAGGCCTTTAGGGTTATGGGGGCCTTTTACAAACAGTAAGGTTCATTCCATCTAATACCCAGTCGGCCAGCCCGGAGTCAAAATGCCGCCCGCCCTTAATGATATCTTCCTTGTGTTTTTACTGTGAAAGTATAGAGAAGCTTACTGGAGATTTTAACCTTGCCTTTTATACCTTCCCATTTCTTCCTCTCTATAAAAAGAGTTGTCAGCTATGCTAAAAGATCTCTGGGTAGTGTGGGATGATGTGAGAGAAATGGTACACTCTCTCTCACTGTGAATGTCCTCTGAAACATCACCAGGTCCCAAATTTCACCTCGCCCTTTTTACTCATCAGGGTATGTGAGCTTTCCAGAGAAAGAGAGGGAGGGAGAGGGGGAGGGAGGAAGTACTTGCTGAAGGGGTATGGTCTTGTTTCAACCCCCTCCTCCATTTCTCCATCCTGTCAGGATTTGGGGCGTATGTGCACACACACCTGGGGAGCCTCTCAAGTTCCTGTACTCCTTCCTGCACTCCAGTCATGTGGGCCCAGCTTCCCTTACCCACGAGGCTATAGAGCCAGCCCCAAACCTTGTCCCTTT